GAGTGAGAGTGAGAGTGGGCGAGTGAGTGAGAGTGAGAGTGGGGGTGAGAGTGGGAGAGTGAGTGAGAGTGAGAGTGGGAGAGTGAGTGAGAGTGAGAGTGGGAGAGTGAGAGAGTGTGAGTGTGAGTGAGAGTGACGAGTGTGAGAGTGAGCGTGAGAGTGAGAGTGTGAGGGAGTGTGAGCGATGGGAATGAGTGCGAGTGAGAGTGAGTGTGAGTGTGAATGTGAGTGAAGAGTGAGTGTGAGTGTGAGCATGTGTGAGTGAGTGAGAGTGAGGGTGAGGGTGAGAGTGAGAGGGAGAGAGAGAGAGAGAGAGAGACAGTGAGCATCTGCCACGAAATCTGCACTTCGATGTTCACCAAGTGCTGCGCCTGCCACGAAATCTGCACTTCGAGGTTCACAAAGTGCTATGCTGTTCGAAATCTGCACTTCGAGGTTCACCAAGTGCTGTGCCTGCCACGAAATCTGCACTTCGAGGTTCACAAAGTGCTGCACCTGTCGCAAAATCTGCGCGTCGAGGTTCACAAAGTGCTGTGCCTGTTACGAAATCTGCACTTCGAGGTTCACCACGTGCTGTGCCTGCCACGAAATCTGCACAGGAGCAACATGTCGAAAAGCTACGGTTCACTGCACCTGTCACGAAATCAGAGCGCCTTGAAGATCACCACCATGTCCAAAGTGCTGCACCTGCCACGAAATCTGCACTTCGAAGTACAGCCGCTTCGATCCCTTGCACCTGTCACGAAAAGTCGACTTTGGACTGCCAAAACACGAGGTTTCCCTTGCACCTCCCACGAGAAGTGACCACCATGTGCGAAAATGCGCACGGCGCCGCAACGAGAGCGCAGTCGCGACAAGCACCCGCCGCGGACACCCAGATTCAGCGAGCCTGCGCAGTCGAAATGCACATTGACAACTTCGAGAAGCATGAGTGTACTGTAAATAGCACCGAATTAGCCGCACACGCCCGCGCGCTTCAGCGATCTAAGCATGAGCTGCCGTACTCCTACGGTAAGAACCCCTAAGTGTGTCCACACTGTTTGGGGAGTAAGGCATGCTAGGGTTGTTCCAATATCAAGATCATCCTGGCCCCCAGTGACTTTCCTCATCCAAATCATAATGACTCACAAGGAATGTTGCATACTTCAGGAGAAAGAATTTTTTTCTTCTCCTTACCGGGTCTTGTAGCATCTATGTGGATCAGGTTGGGTCGAATTGAGAAGTCCATATCGCGCGGCCAATGTGGGACCGTCAATTATCACTGATCACCAATGATCACCTTCTGTTTACTTGATAACAATTACTGTAAACAGCGTGTGAGGTGACATAAGCTGCTTGCAGGATTCTGCAGGGAAAAGGTTGTGAATTTGGAACCTTCAAAAAGAACATTTTTTGTCCTAGTGGTATACAATTAATTAGTACTGCAACTTTGTGATGACTAAGGTATACCTTCAAATGGTTCGAGTGCCACAGCTGCAAAAAATTGTGCAAAGCCAGGCAGTGTTATATATACAAATATGATCAACTGTGTTTTATGTATTACATATATATATATACATTCACCTTTGCAATAAGCGTGTGAACAAAACGTGGCAAAGGTCGCTGCTTCATGTAGCATGCCGTGTCTTCAACGTTGCCTTATGGGTTCGATGAGCATCACCCAGGCTCACAAGGCTCAACACCTACAAAGGCACGTCGGTGGCTGAAAGAGCTCACATCGGAGCGGCAGTTTAAGCTCGTTGCTCTCCCATTCTCTGAAGGAGTTGATCCCGATTTTGCGAGGCAGGGACAGGTTCTTCTAGTAGCTGCATGGCTTGAGATGTACTTGAGCAAAATCTGCCCATTTGTTTCTTCACTACCTCAATTCACAAGAACCTGGACTTTGTCTTGGTAGACCAGCTGAGTCAGTTGAGGGCGGACATTCATGCTAAGTGCAGATTCCTTGTCACAACAACCAATGGCACCTGTTTGCAGGGGTGCTCAGCTCATGGATGCGGGCTTCATAAACTTTCTTCCAGGCCAACAGCTGTTTCATTGCCTGTATATATATATATACACATTTACAACCATATATATATAGAGAGTATGCTGCAATTGGCGATGTAGCTGTTAAAGCTCACTTTTTGTCCCATCCCAAAAATCTCAACTGCTTGCCACGCAGGTACTCACGTGCAGTTAAATGCGTCCATGGGCTACAAGGAAGAACAGTGGATGCCCTGGATCTTAGGTCTAAGAACGTAAGTTTCCCTAAAAATCTAGGAACCAAATCTCTAGGGGCTAGAAGCTACTAGGGGCTCCTGGCGGGGGAGCTTCCTTGAAGAAGCGTGAGTGCTATCCTGCGTCCATGCTAGTAGCTTAAGCAAGGTACTAGCTACCTCTCCTGTAATTTATTAAGCAGGCGCCTACTTAGTCAAGTAGGGAGGGGGGGGAGCGGGATTTAGAAAGAGTTTGTACAACCTCTACGCTTCATTCTCCTGCAATCTCTGAGGCTGTATTGCGTGGCACCACTGCAACTAGGGCCTTTGCCACCTGTGACCTATGACTTTTGGCTCGTAGGAAAGGAGTGCTGCAAGGTAGGGGAGAAAAACAACGAAGAGAATCAGAAAATGGACATGCCTTGAATTCCTTTCATCACAGCTTGTGAAGTGACTCTCTAGTGGCTTTGCTCATATTGTCTTGGCTCCTCTTCTATGGAAGAAAACAACCCGGGAGGCCAGCAGACCAGGTTTCAGCTGCGGCTCGGCGCAGCACGTGCACTCCAGCGGCCTTATTGGAAAGAGGCACAAAGCTCGTAGTAGTGTCCTTTGCTCCTAGTAGTAAGGCACTTGTTACTAGAAGCGATGCACTTGTTCCTAGTAGCTTCTTGCTCCTAGTAGTGAGGTCAGGAGCCCCTAGTAGCGTCCTTGCTCCTAGTAGCGATGCCCTTTGCTCCTAGTAGCGTACCTGTTCACGATAGTTGCAAAGGACGGCAACAACAAAAAATCCACCTGTGTTGAAAACAACGATGAGAGGAATGGAACAACCCTGCTCGCCCAATGCTATGAATCTCCAGCATGTTCTTTTTGGTCAACTTGTTTGACACTTGACTTGCAGTTGGAAACACAATTGTCTTCCCCCAGCCTGCTAAATCCTGATGGCAATGCCGTGTTTTGTTTAACATTTATATACATGTGCACAGCCACCGAAACACTTTCGCCAGCTTCATTGGCTAGTCACTTCTCTAGGCTCCTTGAAGAGGACACCAGCTACTACAAGCTGGCTGTGAAGCAGGTGCTAAATGCTGTCTTGCTCCTCACACTGAGCATCCCTCACATATCACCATGACAATTCTTGAAAGCGGCATTAAAGGCAACCCTGTTTTTTCAGCACAATTGCATTCTCGCCTCACCGAAAGCATGATTTGGGATGCCAACATGTCGTTTGTTTTTCCACGTTGCGCCTTTTTCCAAAAACTGTGAGTTGCTGCAGTTTCGAGCATTCTAATTCGGGCTTTTCATAACGTCCACGGCGTGCAAGGATATACCCGGAAGAAAAGGCAGACAAAGACAGACGGTTCGGCTAAACGAAAGCCACTTTATCTATCCATGACCGTTTTCCAAGGAAGTTTGATGTACAAATCAAGTTCCTCTACAGATTCCCAACAAAAAAAACAATATACCGGTCCACCGTAAAGGGGACTGCCCGCAGAGCAACTCGAAGGACAAGGACGAAAGCACAACTGTAGCAGCAATGAGCAACGTGAACAAATACGCAAACGCAATGAGAAAGCCGCAAGCCGTCATACAGGGGAGAGTGCTTCTGGTGTAGCATCCCAACCAAAGATCACCATTACCGTCCCCATCCCCTCCCCCCCACACACCCTCACCCCAGTTGAATCAAAGGAACCTGACACGAAAACTGTTGTGTGCATACAGTAACATCAAAGGTGGAGATATGCGAGTAACATAAGAAAGTGCATAACCGCCAGCCCGGTTTTCCCTGCGCTAGCAGCTAGACTCGCTAGACAGCATCCAAAAGAATCTGACGCAGTGACCACCCTGTGAGAGACCACCCTGTGTGAATGTTGGCAGTGGCTTCTGTGAGACCTGAGGGCGGCTTAACCTTCTGTGAGGCCGAAGCCGCCTATGGTATCTTGGCCGCCCACCCGCTGTTCTTTGAGCACATGAAGGAGGAAGAGGCGGGAATGGTATGGAGTCTACGAGAATGAGTCCATGGAGATCTGTACAAGAGCAAGAGGACGCCTACTAAGAACAAAGGGCATCGCTACTAGGAGCAAGGACGCTACTAGGGGCTCCTGGCCTTACTACTAGGAGCAAGAAGCTACTAGGAACAAGTGCATCGCTTCTTTCTAGTAACAAGTGCCTTACTACTAGGAGCAAAGGACGCTGCCGTTTTTTAGCAGCGACCTTTCTTCTTGTCGATGTGATGAGCTATGTGAGACAGACACTGGGGCCTGTTGAACTTAGAGGTTTCAGCAACGACACGCCAGGCACCGGCCGGCCTTGTGACTCAAGCCCAACAAGCTTTGCATTTTTATCTTGTAGGCACGATGATGCCTGCATGCTCGTTTATAGAATTTGTCTGTGATGCACTTTCCTGAACTTCTCCACGATCCTGCTTTGAGAGGCTACTTGCTCTTTCAGATTGCAGTGGTGCTTTTGGCAATTTTCTTCTACTTCCCTACTGGCGACCGCTGAGAGACGGAAAGAGAAGGCAATTCGAGGACGTCAACAAAAAGGTGGTGGATAGCATTTGGCTAGCCGGGTTTGTCTACTCTACTCATCTAGGCACTGATAGGTCAGACGGAAGAGGTAGAACCTTATCAGCCTTCTCGAGTTCTCACCGCCGCCTTTTCGCTGCAATCGCCAAAAACATCCAAGGATTCTTTAGGAACATCGCATGAAAGCTATGCAATTTGAGACAACAGACGTTGAGATTCCACATTTGCTGTATCGGTTTCGAGGAAGTTGCAAGCTTCAGATCTTTAAGTTAACATTTGAGTGATTTCTGCCATTTGCCCGGCATTGCGAGCCTGGCACCATGGCATGACAAAGCCGTGCTGTGCTTTGAAAGTAGGCGGGGCAAAATGGAGTCAGGAACCAGCTGCTGCTGGGAAGAGGACGTTGGGGAACATCTCGTGAGCCTGCTGCTGCAAGTCATTTCCTGACATAGTCGCACACCGGCCCCGATGCACATCCCCTTACATTACATCTAAAATCTTGAGAAGTCGACATCTCACAGAGCAGTTGCTTAGGTTTGAGGTCTTGGTCTAGGAGTGTAGAGCTGTTCGGAGGGCAACCGCAATAGCTGCATAGCTGGCCTGAGAGGTGACTTCAACGTCGTTTGCACTTTTGGATCTTTGGCAAATGCTTGGTATGGCTACAATGGCGTGGTCTCTGACGACTCAGCAGCTTGAAGATGAGTGGGCGGTTGTGGTGGACCATCGTAGACCCTTCCTTTTCGAGCAGCCTTCAAACAATTACCCAGCTTCGCCCAGCTTCTTGATAAGTTATCACAAAAACGTGCTGTGGGACCAGCCCAAAAAGTTGCTTTAGCAATGTAGGGGCTTGAAAGAGGAAGTTCAAGATGCCCGTGCATCAAATGTGAACGACACTGGCTGGGAGACCTAAGGCGAATGTGAGTCCCCGCAGTGAGGTGGGCTCGGGTTTGGGCTACGTAGCTGAGGTTTGCAAGTCTAGAATTGCCAAGCTGCCAAGTGCTTGTTGTGTCAGAACTATCTAGACCAGTTGACTGCGCAGAACGGGGTTTCCTCAGATTCACTGCTTGGCACAGGCACATACTTGGCTTTTGCTACTGATCCATTGCTAGAGGAGTGTATCCGCACTTACCACCCCGCTTTAAGGCTTTGCTACAACTAGCAGCCTGAAATGTGTTTATATTCGATGCCTTCTTCAAGTGCACGAAACATTCCTCCTGCCCAAGGGCCGGGCCTAGTTGCCAAATTGGCAGGCAGACGAGAATCGACCACAATCTGGGGATGAGGACCTCAGAGCTTTGCTTGTCAGAGAAAGGAGGATCTTTGCTTGTACATTTTCCCCCGTGTTCCAGGAGCTCCTTCCCCTGCCACTCAACATTACTTTTCCAAGACGCTTGCAGAGGGATCCTTGTGGCGCGAGTGTCTCACTTGGACTAGGAAACCGCTTAGGCCGGCTGGGTGACACCGAAGTCACTTGTCCAACTTGCTGCGAATTCATAGGGCCGTCATGGCCCAGAGACCGCCATGACATGCCATGCCATGACCATAGACATCTAGACATCTACAATACGAGAATGGTCGGCCATTTCTTCACAGGGCGCCGGAGAGAGCCGGCATTGGTGAGCCACTTCCTCTCGAGCTTTTGCAAGATGGTTTGGCCCAAGCTCTCAGGCAGTTTCCACATCTTCTTCTACCATGTCAAGGATGTGAAGATTGTTCGATTGGCTTTCCTGAATTATATTATGTGGAAATGAATTCCTTTCCCACCCTTCCCACTGCCCCCAGCTGAGGGGTGAGATATTGGTTGGGTAGTCAGGTGCTGTGCAGAAGCTCATGGATGAGAGGGTGCAGGAGGCCTTGGATAGTTTTCCACTTGGCGCATTCAGAGGTTTCATTTACATAATCATATTTCACCTCGTTTCATCCATTCAGAAAGCAAACCTGAAAGCAAATGCAGATTTCTAGAAAATCACGTCCTGAGCTGGTACAGTTCGTCCAGGCCTTGAAGGTGGCCATCCAGAAGCTGCCAGAATCCATGAGAGGCAATCCGGAGGGGAAACAGACGAAAGGCTGCGCAAAGCGACATCGACATCCTTCAGTCTGAGAGCGAAAATAAGAGATCAAATGATTGTTATCCAGTTGTAGAAGTAGACTGGGTTAGATGATTCAGTAGATGATTTTGCAGTATTGTGGATGGCTATAGTAGCTACATATAGGCGATAGGCCACACACAGTGGAGACGCTTTCCTACTTTTGTTCAACATGTTTGTAGGCGAGGTGCAGTACAACATCAGCTTCGGTGTTCGGATCTCGGAGCTTTTGGTTCACCACGGTTCACCAGTGATTGGACTTGAATTTGGCTGAAGTGGGCTTAAACCCGAGCGATTTCCAAAAAAATCGCTTTCTCGTTGTTCTCACGTTGGACCATTTTAGCAGCTTGGATGAAGGATTCGGCACCCAGCATCACAGATGTGTATAGCTGGCGGCAGCATCCGCAACTTGGAGCAAAAATTGCAGCAGATCTCAGTGCACGCACAATCCTTGTTTGCAATGCTTGCACTCTGATGCATCTAGGTTAGAGGGCATCGCATCTAGGTCAGAGGCTATCGCTAGTAGGTTGGAGGCCATCGCTAGTAGGTTGGAGGCCATCGCTTCTTGGTTGGAGGCCATCGCTAGTAGGTTGGAGGCCATCGCTTCTAGGTTGGAGGCCATCGCTAGTAGGTTGGAGGCC